TTTATTAAAAATTCAGTAACAGAAACCATATTTGCAAAAATAAAGTCTCATTATTATTAATTAAGAAAAATTTTTGACCATAAATAACTTTTTCTTAAGATATAATTTCTACACAAGGGTAACACGGATTAATTTTTGAAATTGAAAGAAAAAAAAATTGGTTTTGCTTGGAATTATTTGGAAGTGTTTTAAATTCCTAAAATCACCTTAGGATTGTGTGAAATTACTGAAATTATTTGTGAATTGCTGGATTTTTTTTTGAAATTACTAGATTGGTTTTGGAACTTTTGGGATTTTTTTGGAATTAGTAGAGATTTTCTTTTAAAATTAGTTTGAATTTCTTATAACTATCGGAATTAATTTGAAATTGCGAGAATGAGTTTGAATTTAAGTTTGAATTACAGGAATTAATTTAAAAATAATGGAATTACTATAGATTATTAGAATCACTTGAATTTTATTAAATTATTTATGGAATTACTGGAGTTGTTTTGAAATTACAGGAAGTATTTTGGAATTACAAAAATTAAGTTTGAATTACTGAAATGTTAGTGAATTTTTTTGGAATTCAAATTTCAACAAAAAAGTCAAATTTTATTAAAAATTCAGAAACCAAATTTGCAAAAATAAAGTTGTCATTATTATTACATCTTTGGATTGTGTGGAATTACTGAAATTATTTGTGAATTGCTGGAATTTTTTTGAAATTCCTGAAATTCTTTTTAAGACATACTGGATTTTTTTTGGAACTGGTGGGATTTTTTTGAAATTAGCGAAGATTTTCTTTTAAAATTAGTTTAAATTTTGTATAACTGTCGAAATTAATTTGAAATTGCGAGAATGAGTTTGAATTTAAGTTAGAATTACAGGAATTAATTTAAAAATAATGGAATTACTATAGATTATTAGAATCACTTGAACTTTATTGAAATATACTGCTCCACAAAAGTTGAGGAAGTCGCATTATTTTTACAACAAACAAATTTTATTCTTCTAAGCATTGTGAAATTCAGCTATCTCACTTTTAATTAAGTATTAATTCATTTTTTAATAATTTATTAATTTAATTAATTATTGTAATTATTGCACACTTCCTTAACTTTTGTGGAGCAGTTTATTTATGGAATTACTAGTTTTTTTTTGGAATTGCTATTTTTTGCAATAATCGGAATTAATTTGGAATTACTGAAATATTGAATTTTTTTGGAATTGAAATTAATTGTAAAAATTCAGATTTTGAAAAAAAAATCTAATTTTATTAAAAATTCAGTAACAGAAACCATATTTGCAAAAATAAAGTGTCATTATTATTATATAAGAAAAAAAAAGTTTTTAAAATTGAAAGGAATAAAAATCGGTTTTGCTTGGAATTATTTGGAAGTGTTTTAAATTCCTAAAAATATCTTTGGATTGTGTGGAATTACTGAAATTATTTTTGAATTGCTGGAATTCAGTAACAGAAACCATATTTGCAAAAATAAAGTGTCATTATTATTACACCTGTGTGGAATTACTGAAATTATTTGTTGGAATTTTTCTGAAATTCCTGGAATTCTTTTTAAGAATATTTTTGGAACTGCTGGGTTTTTTAGAATTAGCTGAAATTTTCTTTTAAAATTAGTTTGAATTTTTTGTAACTATCGAAATTAATTTAAAATTGCGAAAATGAGTTTGAATTTAAGAGAACTACAGGAATTAATTTAAAAATAATTCAGTAGAATATTATTAGTATATTTATGGAATTACTGGAGTCTTTTTGGAATTGCTAATATTTATTGCAATTACAGGAAGTATTTTGGAATTACAAAATTTAAGTTGTAATTACTGAAAAGTTTTTTTGGAATTGAAATTAATTGTATTTTTTTTCATATCAAGGACTCCTCGTTGTTACACATACTTTAATTAAAAGAAAAGAAGCAATAAAAATAAATAAACGAAAAAAATAAATAAATAAACGGAAAAATTCTTTAACTTTTGAATAAAATTTTTAGCATCTATAAATGGTAAAACAACTAAGTTAATTAATCTCTTTAATTAATTTCTGTACTCCGTTATTTCCGTTGAAACTGTAAACAGTTGTGCCAAATATGGTTTTAAATAAGACTTAATAAAATTATTAAAATTACTAACACTCTAAAACTCATAAAAATGTGAAAACGAAAAGTAATGAATGCATTTTTTTACAATATGTGTGGAAAACTGTGTAAGCAAAATAAACAAAAAATCATGTAATTTTTGTATATTTTTTTTAATTACACTTCTTAGAAACCATTTGACTCATCATCCACCTACACACGATTATTTTGATAATTTGTAAAAGTACATCCTGCTTCATGACCTTACTATTTATTATTTATTATTATTACCGTCATTATGAATTAAATTTTTGATTAAAAGTGCGTCAGGACTCACCGTCGGGGGTCCTCTCATGGATGGTCCTCTGCGCGCAGAGCGCTGGCACTGGGGGCTCCAGGATCCTCCCATTTTGGAACTGGGCCAAAGCCAGCCCGAAAAGCCCCACAACCAAAACGACACTTTTCATTATTTCCAACTACAAAACACGCAATTATTTTTTTTCTTCTCAAGTGACCAAAGACTTACCCGAAGTGACACTAAAGTTAAAATGAATCCGAAAAGCAATAAGACCCCTTTATATAGGAAGGTGGGGTCTTGTGTAGAGAAAGAGAACGATTACAGGTAGCGTCTTCTTCGCCTTGACCTCTGAAATTTCTTGGTGCGAGAATGCGACTTATGAACGAGTGAAAGCTGTGATCTTATCGAAAAAAATTTGTGACTTGGCGATTATGGCGAGTCCCTTTTCCTCGTCCCTAGAGCGATTCGAGGCCGCTTTCTACCTTCAACTATGCGAAAATTTGCTTTTTCAAATATTTGCCGATTCGTGGAACGTGCGGAAAGTAACCACTTTCTTACAGGAATATTTGAAAATAAAGAAAATTATTCTAATCTGGTGGAAAGCAAGTTCAGTACTTGTTTTTTTAGTACTAGATTTAAATTTAAATTTTGTAAAACAGATTTTTAACAAAATAGCCCACCAGAAGTTGGATTTTCCATTTCGTCAAGGACGCTTCTATTAAACTTTTTTATTATTCAGCTTCAACTTCTTTTTCTGGCTTCAATTTTTTGTTTCTTTAGTTTAAGGTGAGGAGGAAGTTGGAAACAGCTTTAAAGTAATATCTGACACAAATATTGTGATGATGTCACCACTTTCATTCTGAGCTAGAGTGCAAGTCAGAAATTATTTATTATTTACTAATCATATTTTATTTTATTTTATTTTTTGATTTGGTATAATTTTGTCATTCACCTCTGGATCTGCAAACAAACTTGTGCGATTCTTAAGTAAAATATGAGCTTTGGGCAAACTCTCGTCATTGTTTGGAATTTCTTAAGTTATATTTGTTTTGGGTAAATTTTGCACGTCTCCCGGATCTCTTCACCAAGAATTTTTTATACATAAAAATTTATGAAACGTATTTAGTATTTTTTATACGTGACAAGTTTTAAATATTTAAAGGCATTAGATGGGTGATGTCACTGGCTAACCACCGACAAAGACATGCAAAATAAATATAACCTCAGTGCGATCTACGAGTGTACAATTCTTACATTTTAATTGCAAAGTAAAGAAATAAAAAAATGTCTAATATATGTAATTCAAATACAGAAGACAAAACTCTTAAAACTTTGGGAAAGAAGAGATAAAATAAAGAATGTTAAAGTGAAAAAAATAAAAATAAAAAATCAATTGAAATAAGGAAATTTTTTGCTTTGAACTTGATAAAAATTTGGAACTTTATCTTATTTACGTTAAAAATTAGTAAAGAATTTTATTAAAAAATGTAACACAAATAAGTTTAAATGTTTTCGTTGTCCATTTCTACTTTTTCATGTAAAATATCTGAAAAAAAATGTAATGTGGTTAGTAGGACTTGAAGTGTCACTTTTTTGGGAAGAAAATTAGCTAAAAAAGACATTGCAAGACAAAAGCTCACTTTTAAGCCGAATAAAATGTTATTTTTTTCTCCAGCCAACAATAACATGTACAAAATTTGAAAAAAAATGTATATTGTTTTATTGGTATTAAAAGTGTTAGTTTCTAGGATTAAAAGTGAGAATGGTAACAATTTTTTACCGAGTTATAAAAACATCAATTTTATTTTTCAAAAATGACAAAAAATCCGGCTGGAGAAAAAAATTTATTAAAAAATATAATACAAATAAGTTAGTATAAATGTTTTCGTTGCTCATTTCAATTTATTTTAATATCTGTAAAAAATGTAAAAAATACCGAAAAAATAGTATATTGTTTTACTAAGATTTAAAGTATCAAGTGCAAAATTTGAAAAAAAAAAGTGTATGTTGTTTTATTGGTATTAAAAGTGTTAGTTTCTAGGGCTAAAAGTGAGAATGGTAATAATTTTTTCGGAGTTATAAAAACATTAATTTTATTTTTCAAAAATAACATAAAAAATCATGCTGGAGAAAAAAATATA